GAGAGAAAGGTACAGCACAAAGTGAAAAGGAACTGCAAGTCTCGTAAATTTTCCAAGATAACATTCAAAAAGTCTTCCAGCTTCTAGGAAGATAGGTGGGGACCTTTATGGAACAGAGGAGAATTCAGTAATTGTCATGCACTTGTAAATCATGGGTGCACAACAGATCTTGCTATGGGAATAAATGAGATTGGTAGTTGGCTTTTTTCTCTGTCTAGTTCAGTAGTTCAATTCTATCAAATGTATCAAAGTTATCTAATGTGCAGTAACTTTAGGGACATGGCAGAAATTGACTATGATCTTCCCATTAGTTTGATTTTGGATTATGTTTTGTTTTGTTTTTTTGTTTGTGTGTTTTGAAACTCATTGTAAAAATCTACATCATAAGAGTTGTCAGTGCTCACATTTTGTGGAACATGTCCACAAAATGAAGAAAAGGATACACTTTTTATTGCACTGACACTTCAGTATCTGTCCAATATAAGGATTTCTTGACACAAAATGAGGTAGCACAGTATAGATGATCTAAGACAACTAGTGTCCAAGTTACTGTGTATGTAATATGTACATAATGCTATATGAAAGTGTTAGTTTCGTAACAGTTGAATAGGCACTACTGAAGCAAAGAATGCAATTATGAAAGTTATCACTCTTGTATGCAGAAAGACAAAATGTGTACTGCTCGCTATAGTTCAGATACACACTCCTATTATTATTACTTATACCATCTTTCCATCCTAGCCTGACTTTAAAGCTACTTCATTGTGATTAATTCCAAATATTTAGTTTTTAAAAAGGCACTGATGTTTTTAAAGGAAGAAACATATATTTTCAAAATATTAATTTTTTTTGAAAATAATGTACATTATACTTTTAATTGTTTTACTGTTCAAATTGTAAGGTGTGTTCTTTTTTGTTCAAGAATTTTAAAAGCAACTAATTTAAATATGCAAAATTATCTTGAGTTGTTCATACGTGAACTTAAAAGCCATGCAACACAGGAAAATTAAGTAATTATGCCTCCAAGTTATTTACTGCAATTAAGCTCATTTATCATATGCAAATTAGTGCAAACTGGTCTCATTAGTTACTAAATTACTCAATATGAGCTGAACAATGTAGCACTCCAGTTTGTAATGAAAAATCCCTGTAGAGGCAAGCAGTATCAATTAAGCTAATTTGCATATGCAAATATATTCACTAACTTTCCCTTTTCTCTATATTTAGTTCTACATTTCCTGATCATTCCTGATTATAAGAAGACTATGGGGTTACTGACCCTTTTTCACACCTTCTCAATTGCAATGAAGTTACAGAAAAAAAATCCAGAGATCCTGAAAAATTGATGAAAATCTTGCTAATTTTTACAACCAATTTAAACGAAATTTTTAGGTAGGTACCAGAAATAATGTTTTTTCTGGATTTAGTTGATAGACAGATATATATACAGAAATATAAAACAGAAGATATCTATTCTCATTATAACACCACTTTTCAGAAGAAAAAGAATGTACAAGACAAGAAAAACAAAGCCTATAATTTGGCAAATCAAAAATGTTGTCAAAAATAAATTAACATATTGCCATTATCTACTTTTCTACTCCATTACGTTCCACTCTACTATTCATAATTCAGGTGATTTTACTTGGAAAACATTTAAAAGACATTACACTGACATAAAGATTCTGATGTAACAGTGTTTGAGCAGTCATCTTTTGTGGTCTTTTTTTCCACAAGCACAGAGTGGATAGTACCTTTGGCTTCAAACCTACGACTGGGAATCTCTTCAGCATGATATACAGCAATCAGCAGTGGCTTGGAGATTTTTTTGACATAGACTCACACAATTTTAGACTGATTTGGGTTAAAAGGTTCATTAAAGATCACCTACTTGCCACCCCCCTTCCACGGGCAGGGACACCTTCCACTATCCCAAATTGCTCAGAGCCCCATCCAATGTGGCCTTGAGCACTGCCAGGGATGGGGCAGTCACAGATTCTCTGGGCAGCCTGTGCCAGAGCCTCACCACTCTCACCATGAGGATGTGCACAAGGGTTGGATTTCATACGTAAGCAAAGTATAAGCCTCTTTGTATATCTAGATTTGGACAAAGGACAAATGCAAAGATGCCTTACTCAATTTTTCATCTCTGAATTTATGTAAAGGTAATGGTACATTGACTATTTTTGGAGTTGATGAAGTCAGCCATTAACAGAACAGATTTAACTGTATGATCCCTGGGCACAAATGCTATCTCAGACCAAAATCAATTACTTTTATTTTTCTCATTACAGGTAGAGTTTTACTTTTCTATTTTCTGCACTTAACTGCATATGGGAGAAAAGCTTTAGTGCCTGTATCAATCATCAATTAAGCAGAACTTAAACATTTGATTCCTAAATAATAGAAAAAAAATCATGGATGAAGGCATTTTCATTCAATGATGACTAGGCATTACAAATAAATACATGGATTTAATATGTATGGACATGACTAATGTATATAATATATACCTAGATATGACTGACACTACCTATTTGCAGACTCAAAATATAAAAATATCACAAGATGTACCTCCATTTCTGTTTTTGTAATCTTATTTTAAATAAACTATATCCACTTTTTAAAAATCTACTGCATATATGTCTATCAATAAATTTTGAAGTATCAAAATATTAAAAAGATTACAGAGGTCCTTAATTTCTGAGCTTACACTTAACCAAGTCTTCAAAATACTAATAGCAAAAGGGATTACACCAACTATTAATTCAAATGCTTCAGATAGCAGACTCTGGAACCAAAATTCCCAAAGTATAATCAAGGTTGTTTACTTCACTTGCAAACAATACTTATCATGATACTTATTTGAAAATAATTTCTGTGAGTAGCAGACTAGGTGAGAACATGTTAGAACTGTATTCCACCACAAAGTCTATCCAACTGTTGTTTTAAAAACCATTTTGTCTTCTGGTGATTATATTACTACCTATTAGACCACAAGGCAGTATTTTGAAGTTCATTCTGATCTGTTTAGAAGTGGTATATTTGAATGCATGACCCATCACCTCCCAAGGGTTGATTGCTCTGCTAAAATAAGACAAAATCTTAACAAATTATGATGAATCTGTCACCACTATTAATTCATATTGTCTTTTATCCATCGTCAAGAGTCTATCTCGCAAATATCAGGGTGGAACTGCCTATTATCAACTGAGAGATTCATGGAAGTACTTTGATAAAAGCATCATCTTTGAAAAGACCACACCTTAACAGATATTCAATACAAGGCAAATGGTAACTTTGATTTAAAATCCTCAGTTTTGAGAATACAAGTGCAATACACGGCTTTTTTAGTAGTACTATGATGAAGCTATGTCCTGAAAACACCTTAATTAATCACAAATCAATTTTTAAAAATGTAAAAAAAAAAAAAAACCCCAAAAAAACCAAAAAGAAAACCCAAAAAACCCAACAATCCATAAGTGGAATCTAGTTCAAACAAGTATGAAAGTCACTAATTGTTTTAATACATAGTAAGTGAAAAACTCAAATATCAAGTAGTTTTCAAAGCAGCCATCCTAGGTTTTTTTCATTTTCATCTATAAGAGTCATACTTAATACCTAAAAAGTGCAAATAAATCAGTCTCAATGAGGTTTTATTTATATATGAGTTATAAGTAATATTGCAAAAAACATACCTTTAGGATATATGATATGTTTACACACTCAACATACTAAGAAATTACATAAACTGAAATATCATAAAATTGCTAGTTCTTAATTTTTTTTCTGCATGTATGAGACAACATAGCAGTGTTCCTGACTAATATGCAAACACAGTACTGTAGATACTGGTGCAATCTCTGACACAATAACTACAACAAAAGTATTTGCTTACAGAATCAAAAACTTGACCTAGACCTCTGCTAAGAGTGCACAACTAAGCAAATAATTTCATTCATGATTCTTGTTCCGAAGAGAAATTAATTCTACTAGTTAATTTAATGTTTTCCTAAAATTATCTTTGTTGCCATTCTGCATTTTGTAACTTTATAAAGATGTGAAAATTCTGACATTATCTATAGTGCTTTTGAATACCACAGCTGAGTTAGTACAGAGATAGCTCTCAATCATTTCAAATTAAGTGGGATATTTCTCATGATAATATCCTAATTTACCTCTCTCGTACCTCTCAAAAGATAATACACCAGACAATATATTTGCATTGAGAAGCTGTGTACATTGCTAAAAAAGAGCAGTTATTCAGTGCCACACTTAGAAAAGACTGTGTGGGTTTTATTTCCATAGGGCTGGGTTTGTCTTACTGCAAGGCACGTCGCATTTTCTTCTTAACTGCTTGTACTCCACATTTGATCACTTCAATCTAAGAAAGGCTGTAGTAACCCTGACAAAATAAATCATGCACAAGGATGTTTCCATCAGGTCATCGTTTTTCAATTGAGCCTTCCTGGAATATGATGACTCGTGCCATGTGACGAACTTGTTTGACAAATACCAGACCAGTTTTCGGCCCACAGCTAAGGATACCTGAGAGGCATGCTTCTGTTCATTTTTTAATCTCTGCAGATTGCTCCAAATTTGTGATATATAATTGTGACAACTGGGATATCATGGACAAAAGCAGTGCTCATAAACCAAAGTGGGGAAAAAAACCCCAACCCTAAATTGATACTTGTCATAAGACAAAGCACCACCACAAAATACGAGCTGGTACACACACTCACACAAATACATAAAGGCATTCTGCAAGCAAACACCTACTGCACCATTCTAAACAAGATATTGTGATTCAGCTAAAATAACACTTGCCTTGCCTCTCATTAACAGTTTCCCAATTATAGACTTTCAAAATAGAAGAAATATGAGCATAAAAAAAAATCTTATCAATAGAAGTGCTGACAACAATACTATTCAAATTATTGGCAGATATATGACTAGATAGATATTTTGATTTTTCTTGGAAAAGCCATTTTTTTTACCTGTAATATATGACTTCCCAAATGTGATTCAAATACTTCAATGGCAAGGGCACTGGGACTTCTCCTGCGCTGGGCACCTATAACTGAATAAAAAACAGTTATGTTGCAAGGTCTGCACATTTAGGTCTCATGCATCCTCACCACTGACATTAACCCCGTAAATGTTTTGCATCTGAATACACCGGTGTTAATTTAAATTTTGCCTTCTATACGGCATATAAATTTGGTAATTTAATATGTAATTTAAAACTCAAATTTGTAGGCTAAAAAAGGAGATTTTTAAAAACCAACCTATCTAAGTGTCCAATGAATCTGGAAATTACTTGTTTGTTCAGATATATCTCAAATCCCTGTAGGCTTACAGTAATGAAAGCATGCAGTATTTAGTGAAAAACACTATTGAAAAAGAGGCTACACATACTGTAAATGTTTTGAAATGTGGGATAAGAACTAAATATTACTTATGAATTAGAAAGTTTATTCCACTAAACAACTGAGAGGTTTATCTGAACATGTTATTATTTGAAACTGAAATGAAATAAACACAGCATTAAAAAGACAACATTTATAAATATATCTAGTATTAAAATCAAAGTTCTCCTCAGTGTAGAGAAGCATTTTAGTACCCCAGATATCCACGTTAGTTGCTGGAATAGGTACTTGAAATTTCAGCGTCTAAATTATATAGTTTAAAAGTACAAAATGACTAATAGGTAGTTTCAGTAGTTATGTTTCGGAGGCAGCAGTGACTAAAAAAAAGGCTGAGAAATCACAAAACTAATATTCTGTTAAACTCTGTATGCCAGGAACACAAAGCCAGAAATTAGGTCTGTATATAACCAAATGTAGCCATCTACTGTAAGCTGAGGCTTCTTAGGCCTGGGCTACCTTTCCACATGAACAGAGAAAGCCAGAGCACAGAAAAGATGGCACAGGGCTGCAGGAAACTCCCTTTCCTGTCTTAGTGACAAAATCAAGCATATCCACAGCAGAGAGAAGAGGCAAAGTTCATTCTGCACCCTTCTAAGGGGTGTACAAAAGCATTTACAGCCCAAGACCCTGATGAGAGACTAATGTCTCTGAAACCATCATAGCACTAGTCCATCTTTACATATTGCTGTCTTTACAGTGTATGATAAGAAAAATGAAATATCAAGGATCTGCTAAAACAATCAGAATGAATGACTGCCATTACTGAACAGGCCAATTTAACATGAATGGAAACAAACCACAGAGCAACAATTTCTAAGTCTTCTATGATACTGGCTGCCAAACATGATATCAGTAGGAAAAGATAAATGCCAAGTAATGATAGTCATATTGACCTGAAAATGTAATATCATTTCTTATTGATGTTTCATATAATTTCCTCGCAGGAAATTCTAAGCTATTGATACTGAGCAAACAGGTGGCTTCATAGCTAATAGATTCAGGCAATAGCTCCTAATTACAAATGGGGACTGCTGTAGAGCTGGTTTTTCTAAGTCCTCCTCTTTTCTCATATTCAAGGACATAGACACTAACACCTTGAAAGAAAACTCTACAAGACTGTATTAGACTGTATTTCTTAGAAAAACTTTATCTTAAATTGTGGGACTAAACAAAATATATAGCACTGTAAAGATTTTCAGTATTCTGATCGTGATTGCTGACAGCATGATGCTTCGTACAGTTATTTCATTTATAATCTATCAGAAACAGCAACAACAAAAAACCAAATTCAGTTTTGGCTCGCTAGACATTTGCTTCATAGTAGTCTCCATAACAGCACTGAAAAGACCAAAAAAAGCCCTCAACCTGTAAACCTGCAACCCTTCCCTGAAATCCTTTAGGTCCTTTCATTCTCCCAGCTAGACTTGTCATGTTTTCCACACATTGGCTGAATATACCACCATTTGGAATTTACCTTTCAATTAATTTTCTGTTTCCTGCCCATATCCTTATGTTACCATTTTAAAGTGTATCCATCACATATTGAATCCAATTCTATGGTGTCAATTGCACGGTTTTAGCATTTAAGTATCATAATTTGAATGAAGTGCCTGAAGTCAGTGCAGCCCTCTTTAAAACAGTGTCTTGAACCTTAAATGACATTTACAGGTAAGTTATCAGTCCCTCACAATTGTGACCCTCAGTTCTATACCTCAAATGAAATCACTTTAAGGTGAGTGAGTTAACTAGAAAACAAGAGAGGGTCAAATCTAAGCTTTCAAATTTGTCAGTTAAATCCTCCATCGATGACTGCATACTTGTGGCTAGTATATACATAGACAAATATCTTGTAGTACTTTCATGCCATTCGGTTCACTGACATTTTTATAGCACTAGTACTCAAGACACATAGAATTTATGTGTCTTGCTCTTAGCTAGGTGATGTGGGGTTCTCATGATTTCCTAATTTTACAACCATGATAATAAGTTACACAGAAAACAATTATGTTTCTGGTAGCCATGCTGCAACTCTTTTTTGATAAATTAATAAATATTAAATATGTACCTTATTTCATGCACTTCCATAACTATCATTCTTCATATTTTGAGGAATGAGACAAGAATATTGAGACAAGGAAAACTTAAATTATTTAATCAGCTGGACTCATTGTCTTATTATTTTACTTACTTAAGCTTTCAAATTTTCTTGATATCTACTTGCAGCAGAAGAAATATGCTATTTTGGGTATATAAGTGCACACCACATTGATACCTTTCAGAAACATGGCAATCTCGCAGTCCAGTCACAGCACAAAACCTCTTACTTGTATTGAATGAATTGTTGGCATGCCAATAGACGAAAGGAAGACACAGACTGAAATGTTTGGATTAAAAAGCAGGCCCAATGTTATTTTATTCTAAAATTTCAAAACATAAACTATAAATACTGAACTGGTTTCCATCACACAAGCCACAGCTAGTCATCTAAATCTCTCAGTCTGTGGATGGAACCATCAGCAGCCACAGCTCAGCCACTCACAGAAAACTTGAAAAGCAAAAGATTTAAGATTTATTTCAAAAAATCTATAAATCAAAGTAGCTCAGCAACCTTCACAGACCTAAAGGTGTGGATGCACATTTTTTTTTTCATGTGGATTCCCTTTTTAAATGCAGACTCTTTACAGAAACAAAATAGTGCAGGCATGAAATAAATTTCTTCTTCTGAGTTACAGGAAGCAGGGGAAATTAGGATGTGGAGAAGGCTGAAGCATTTGTACCAAACTCCAGAAGGAGTCACAATGGAAACAAGTTCCAAATCCAGGTTAAATTCTTCCAAGCTTCTCCTATTTTAGAGGTATGAACAAACATCTCTGAATAGACTTTTTCACACATAGTCATATTTTGTATTGCCTACATTTAGTTGACAACATTTAATGCCTGAATGCACAAATTAATCAAAAAGTTGGTTGAAACAATATTTATACTAAACACTGACTTTTAATAGTGACAAGAAGATAGAAAGATTGCTTTCGCATGTGGACTTTGTAGTGCTGGAGCAGAAGAATCTGTCTATGAAAATGTTTTACTTTCCATGGCTATGACCTTTACTATCCAAACTGACATGTCTATTCCTGGCATGAGATTATTCCATAAAAGAAGAAAATTCTAACTGTTCACTAGTTCCTCTTTAAAATTCCTCCCTCAATGACTAATCTGGCTATGCATGAGGTGAAGGAAGAGCCACCTCCCTTTCAGAGTGTCTTGGGGGCAGTCTAAGCATGCTTAATGCAACCTCAAGAGCATTTGCAATTGTGCTACAAAAAGTGGGAAACCGTGGAAAAGAAAAACATAGACTGCCTAACAAAGATTTCTGTGCATCCTGAAAAGGAAGGATTTCCTCTTAAACACAGCCCTAAGGTGTGGGAGTACAGACCAAAGACTGATGTTCCCTATGCCTTTCTACTGGTGAAGACAGAGCTCTAATAAAGCACAAGCAGTATTCTTTGATCACTAGGAATGGAAGAACAGCACATGAGCACAATTATCAGCTTCCCCTAAAAAACTCCTGTGAGACTTTGCATGACATCCCTCAACATAAACTACTTTTGTGGAAAGTTTTGGAAAATTCAAACAAAGAGTTTTAAAATTCTGTTGCTTTTATAATAGTTTAAAAACTGAACTGAACTTAAAAAATGTTTTCCCTTAACCTTTATTTACTCCTAAAAGCTTTTTCTCAATTAGCCTCAAACTCCCTATTTTTTTTTTTTTAATTTTGTTGATTTTTCTAAGAAGAACTTTTTGTACCCTTGGAAGCAGAGGCGGACTTAGGGCCACTGCACTGCAACCTTTTAGGCAACCTGATGTCTGAAGAATTATAAAAAAATAGAGGTCATCTTGAAGAGCTCTAATTATGACTGCCAATAAAGTCAGACTTTAATTAGCAAAGACTGAACAGATCTACATAAATATGAATGTGTATAAACACCCCACCAAAAAAAAGAAAATTACCAGCTTTATTCACAAAATATGTAACCATATCAGGCTAATTGCACAGCAGCTTCACATAGGGTTGGCTAATATTTTTCTCCATAGGTATCAACAAAATACATGATAATGTCAGATGAGAGAGCATAAGAAGCAGAGTGGTCTGATGATTGTATGTGCAAAACAGTTCCCAGCATGAATGTGGCTATAATCTTTTAAATATTCTTTCCCAGAATATAACTTTTTTTTGTTGTTTTGGAGTAGAAAGAAAGATCTATTGAAACAACAATACAATTTCTAACATATTTTCCTTGGCGTAGATTCTAGATGAAAATGTATCTCTTGTGATTTCTATGAACAGCTCCAAATGTTCATGAAAGAAAATGGAGGTGAATTTGGCAATCAAAGTGGTTTGGAAGAGGTGCAATGTCATCTTGAAATATTGGGGCTTTCTGATGAGACATAATGAGTAATTTGAAAATTTTTAAAAGCTGTGTTTTAGAAAAGACAGAGACACTGACTACAGGGCTGAGCTGAACAACAGACGATTCAATCTCAGGGAAGGATGAAGTGTAATCAACATTACCCTCCAGTATTTCTGCATGCTAGCATTCACAGAAGCTTTTAAAAAAAAATTACTCCATGTTTAATACCTTTTGATGAATAT